GTAGGCAGAATTAACATAGTAAAAGTGGCAATCTTACCAAAAGCAATCTACAGATTCAATGCAATACCCATCAAAATCCCAGCAAAATTCTTCAAAGATATTGAAAGAACGGTACTCAACTTCATATGGAAAAACAAAAACCCCAGGATAGCCAAAACAATCCTGTACAATAAAAGAACTTCTGGAGGCATCACAATCCCTGACATCAAACTCTACTACAGAGCAACAGTACTGAAAACAGCCTGGTATTGGCATAAGAACAGACAGGAGGACCAATGGAACCGAATAGAAGACCCGGATATCAATCCACACATCTTCGAACACTTGATTTTTGACAAGAAAGCAAAAAATATCAAATGGAAAAAAGAAAGCATATTTAACAAGTGATGCTGGATATCAACATGTAGAAGAATGAAAATAGACCCATATCTATTACCATGCACAAAACTCAAGTCCAAATGGATCAAAGACCTCAACACTGAATCTTATAGAAGAGAAAGTGGGAAGTACACTTGAATGCATTGGCACAGGAAACCACTTCCTTAGATATAACCCCAGCAGCACAGACATTGAGAGAAACAATTAATAAATGGGACCTCCTGAAACTAAAAAGCTCTGTAAAGCAAAGGACATGGTCAACAAGACAAAACGACAGCCTACAGAATGGGAAAAGATCTTCACTAACCCCACATCAGACAGAGATCTGATCTCCAAAATATACAAAGAACTCAAGAAACTGGACACCAGAAGATCACATAATCCAATAAAAAAAAAAAATGGAGTACAGACCTAAACAGAGAACTCTCAACAGAGGAATCTAAAATGGCTGAAAGACACTTAAGGAAATGTTCAACATCCTTAGTCATCAGAGAAATGCAAATCAAAACAATTCTGAGATTTCATCTTACACCTGTAAGAATGGCCAAGATCAAAATCACTGATGACAACTTATGCTGGAGAGGTTGTGGGGGAAAAGAAACACTTCTGAATTGCTGGTGGGAATGCAAGCTGGTACAACCCCTTTGGATGTCAGTGTGGTGATTTCTCAGAAAATTAGGAAACAACCTTCTTCAAGACCCAGTAATACCACTTTTGGGTATATATCCAAAGGATGCTCAATCGTGCCACAAGGACATGTGCTCAACTATGTTCATAGCAGCTTTGTTTGTCATAGCCAGAACCTGGAAACAACCTAAATGCCCCTCGATCAAAGAATGGATATAAGGAAAATGTGGTACATTTACACAATGGTGTACTACACAGCAGAAAAAATACTGACAGCTTGAATTTTGCAGGAAAATGGATGGAGCTAGAAAACATTATTTTGAGTGAGGTAACCCAGACACAGAAAGACAATTATCACATGTACTCACTACTCATAGGTGGTTTTTAAACATAAAGCAAAGAAAGCCAGCTTACAAACCACAATCCCAGAGAACTTAGACAACAATGAGGACACTAAGAGAGTCTTACATAGATCTAATCTACATGGGAAGTAGAAAGTAGAAAAAGACAAGATCTCCTGAGTAAATTGGGAGCATGAAGACCTTGAGGGAGGATTGAAGGGGGAAGGGAGATGCAGCGAGGGGAGCAGAGAAAAATGTAGAGCCCAATAAATATCAATAAAAAAATTTTTAAAAAGAGCAAAAAAAAATATTTTCATTGTCATTTCATAACTGTAATTTTGCTACTGTTAAGAGTCTTAATGTGTGCTTTTTAATGGTCTTATTTGAGCTCTGTGAAAGGGTCATTTGACACTTAAATGGGTTGTGACCCACAGGTTGAGAACCACTGGATACTCCTCCCAGCTCAGCCTTCTAAGTATCAGCAACAGTATGTGACTTCCAGGGTTCTAGCAGCTATTTCTCCCCACCCCCACCCTCTTTCTCCTGCCTTTCCTCCCTCAGAGATACATACATACTTAAAAGTGACTTACATATTTGAACCAAAGTCATAGATTAATTCACTCTAGGAAAAAGAGAAGAGTGTAGTAATGGACCCATGGAGGGAAAACAGTTCCATTTACCAAGGCTCATGGGCAGGAAGAAAGAGACGGAGACGTGGTAAAAGTCAAGATGTAGAGAGAAGGAGAACAAGCAAACATGAAGGCATATTCTGGATGATTCTGAGCAAAGTAGCACAGCTCCTGAGAAAGGTGGAAGGGGCAGCATTCCAGTGAGAGGTGGAGAGCACACTACAGGCAGGAAGTGAACACGCTGAGGTCAGAGCAGTCAGAAGACATCTACCAGTCAGTTAGCCAAGGCCATACAAGACTCATTGAGTTTGACTGGTGCTTTTGAAGCAGTGGGGATCAGTGTTGTATGCCAATTTGGGAGAAAAACCCATATAAAGAAAAGTACCATTCTGAATTAAACCTTTATACTAGTCCAAAGGTCTCCTGAATCTCTGGCACAGACAATTCTCTAGGCTGCAGAGAGAAATGGAGCTGGGTGAAAAGCGTGAGCTTAAGGCTCTGCCAGTAATGTGAAGTTCTGGTACTGTCTGCAGTCTATGATGAGCTGGTATGGATTCAATGTAAAGAAAGCACATAAGGCAGGGTCTTGGCCCAGAGATAGCCTGTTCTCCACCATCTATGCTCTCCTGTGGCTAAGGTGAATTTCTGGAAGTGTAGAAGGGAGCCCTGTCAGTGGAGAGAGGCACAGCAGGGCCAGAAAAGGGAGAGAGGCACCTCTTTCAGCTTCTTGGCCCAGGGCTTCTGGGCCTTCCGGAAGCCATCCTCTGCTTCCTTTGTCTCCTTGAAGCCTCCCATCATCTGTTTGTGAAAGGCTTCCTTCTGCCAGTTCTTGATCTTCTCAAAGTCTTCATTCATCAGTGACGTCTTCACTTCTAGGTGCAGCTCGCTCACCTTCTCTGCTTCAGACATGACAGCCATCCAGGCCTTCTCCACAGTCCCATACTGTGGTCCTGACACAGGAGAAGAATGTTAACTCAGTCTCTGCTCACAGCAGGATTTCTGTCACCCCCACAGCTATCCACCTGGGAGCAGTCCAGCTACAGACAACTTTTCTAAAGCCTTTGAGCTCTTGTGTGCGCGCACAGATATGTGCATGTACATGTGAGTAATGTGTATATGTAAGAGCAGTACAGGTGATATGCATACATATTTTACATGTAATTGTGAGTGAATGTTCATGTGATGTATGTACCCATTTTACATAGAGAACAAGGCTCACGTTAATCTTCCTTAGTCACTGCTGTTTTTTTGAGACAGGGTCTCATGGAACCTGAAACTCATGGATTCAGCTCTACAGGTTGGTCAGCAATCATCCACCTCCTCTAGTCTCTATTACACAGAACGGGGATTACAGGTATGTAGTGCTGTGCTTGTCTTTGTAGAAAGATTTACTTTTATTTTGAACATATGTAAGTACTTACATATATGTACGTATACTTTGTGCACACCTGGTACCCAGGAAGGAGATATTGGCAACCCTGAAACTGGAGCTAGAGGTGTTTGTGAGCTGCCATGTGGGTGCTGGAAATGAAGCCAGGTCCTCTGAAAGAGCAACCAGTGCTAACTACTAAGGTGTCTACCGAATCTTGCATCTGACTTCTATGTAGAAAGGAGTTGGGAATTAGGCCTTCTGCGTGCACAGTTAAGTGCTTGTACAGCTGAGCCAGCTCCCCTGTTCCCTCTGCGGTCTTTGAGATAACCCTTTCTGTATTTTGGAGATCTCAATTTGTTTAAGGTGGCCAGAAAAGGGTGAACTCTCTGAAGTGAGCTGCCAGCCTCTCAACCACCAAGAACTCTCTCTTGCTCCCATGACAGCCCAGGATTGTGAATGGCCTCCCTCAAGATGGAACACCTTTATTCACTCCCATGAGCCTAGAGGATAATAGTGTCAACAAAGACAGGACAGGGAACATCTTGTAGTCTCCAAACCCCACTCCTCACTGGCTCAACTCAGATCTGAGAGTGCTGGTTGCTGTGAGCACTTCAATAACACAGCTGGGTTTCACCTATTTCACCAATGGCTTTCTTCTTGTCCTACCTACCCAGACCCCTTATCCAAAGTGACAGGCCTGATTAAGAGTTCCCCTCCTGAGCCTTGGGGAATGAGAACAAGAAGGGAGTGAACTGACATAGTGTCCCTATACCATCCAGACATTTCCACGTGGGCCTGTGTGGTTTCTCTTTCCTCTCTTCCCTCTCCCAGCACAGACTTCCTTCCTTTCTGCTGAGGCCAGTCCTCTATCGTACAGGCACCCGCAGGCCCTCAGCAAGATGCATTCCTAGCCCACTTGTGAGCAATTCATCAGGGGGTCCCCGGAAAGTGAGCAGTTAGTACCCATGCCCAGGGTTACCTTACCTTTCTCCACAAGCTGCTTCCAGCGTCGGGCCCACTCAGTGAGCTGCTGTGCATATGCCTTTTCAATGCGTGCCCGCTCATGCAAACAGTTCATGAGGTCACCACACAGCCGGTGCCCATCATCAATCCGCTTCACAGTCCTTTTGTAGTTCCCGACCTGTGAGACAGAGCTTAGTGTTACAGTTAGGCGCATACTTAGGGTGGTTGTCCACCTGCTATACCCTCTAGCATGGTCAGCCTATCTGTTGCTATCATATATAATATATAGGGTCCCCTCACATCACTCTAAGGGTCATCCCATCTCCCCACCCTGATGGCTACCCCCTGGTTGCCAGTCAAGATCCCCTGTTTTATTACCAACAGGAATAAATAAGTCAGCCGACTGGAGTGTCTGCGTATATACCACCAGGTCAGGACCTGTGGCAGAAACCAACTGGGAGATCAGGGAAGGAGGCAAATGAGCAAGGTGCAGGGCTGAGTGAGGCTGACAGGTCTTCAGGCAGATGGAGGAGCAGGGGTGGCTTCCTAGAGCAGGTAACATGCAACTAAATCCTCACGCAGGATTACTACCACTTCCCAATGACAGTACACATATTTTTCCCACCCACTGAGTGCCTACTATGTACCAGGCACCTTGATAGGTATTTCACACAGGTGGCAGCAACTGCCCCTACTTCACAGATGAGGAAACTGAGGCTTAGAGATGCTAAGAACTGGCTAAGACTGCATGGTCACACTGGCTGGGATGAACCTCAACAAGGGAGTTTTCAAAATATTTTCAGGTAAGACAGCCTGGACGGCAAACCTCAGATTCTAATCTGCTTTGTCAAGGGCAAGTTTTGGCTACTCCTTTTCACATACGAAGGGAGAAACTAGATTACCTAAACTAGAAATAGCTATGAAAATATTTTTAACCCTGTGTGTGTGTGTGTGGTATATGCACACACATGTACACATGTGCACATGTGGGTGGAGGCCAGAAGTCAATGTCAAGCATCTTCCTCAATTGTTCTACTTTTTGTTCTTGTTGTTGTTGCTCGTTTTATTCTTTGAGACAAGGTCTTGATGAACTTGGTGCTCACTCATGGATCTGGCTATATTAGCTGGCCAGCAAACCCAGGGATCCTCCTGTCTCTACCTCCCAGCATAGAATTCCAGGCATGTGCCATCACACCCAGCTTCTTATGTGGGTGCTGCAGAACTGAACTTAGGTTACCATGCTTGCCCACCAGTACTTTACTAACCAAGTTAACAACTCCTCAGCTTGTTTCACCCTATAGCTTCAGCAGCAGGTCATAGGGGAAGGTCCACGGAGAACAGCACAGGAAAAGGACTAAAAATGTTTTCATCAGTTGCCTACCAATGTGTTCAAAACTCTTAAACCACTCTCTTATGTTTTCTAACAGTCTCTACCCACTGACTCTCCAGTACGTTGTTCAGCCCGAAAGCCTCAAAGGCAGGCATGCCTGCGCCTGCTCTACAGAAAGGGCAGCCCTCTCTGCAGTGTTGAACTCCCAAGTCCTCCTTCTCCAGTGCTGAGCTAGCTAAGGGAAGAGGTGCTGGAGATGACCTGCAAGAGTTTGGAAAAGGATAACACCTTTGGAGAAGGACAAACATGCAGGCACTGCATGTAGACGCAAAAGAGTGAGAGATGGTGGCTACTGTACCTAGAGGGAAAGGCTGTCCCTTGGACCAGGGCTCTAGGCAGGCTGAGGTGATGACCTCCTCCTGCAGGGCCCCGAAGCCTGCTGAAGAGCTAAGTAAGACCCCCAGAAGTCAGACAGCCTAGGGATGCCAGAGGCCCAGCATGATTTTAGCCACCTACTAAAGGGCGGGACTTTTAGATCCACCATTAATCGTGTGCCCCCCACAGAGCCCCTGCAGCCCAGGCAAAGCCTGACTCTTCTCAGCAAGGTTGGGAGTTCAATACATACAGCTGAAGCTGGGCTGTGACTTAATCCCCCGGCTTTTCCTTTTTCTTATTGCAAAAAAGAAAACAAAAGCAGTCTCCGCAACCCACCCTGAAGCACTGACACACTTGCTCTTCTTCAAATGGGCCTTTGTGGTCACTTTCAAATTTATAAAAGAAAAAAATAACAAAACTCAACTTAGTACTACTGGGATGGTGGCAAGAGGAGAATCAACCTGATTGAGTCGCAGTAGCCACATGGAACCACACAGAGACAGTTTTCATCTGTCACAGCAGTGCTCAACTGGAGACAATCATCCAGATGTATATGTTAGCATCTGGAAACCTGTTCACCTCTTCAGTGTTCAAAGCCCAGGGGAAGACTTCAGGAAAGGGAAGAACACCTGCTAAGGAGCCACAAGCTGTGCAGGCCAATGGCATGCAGCAGCTGCAACCATGCTGAAACAAGAACTCCTGTCAATTGAAGGGCAGCCTCCTAGCTCCCAGGGTGGGAAGTGTCTCAGCAGGCAGACATTTCAGGTTATTAATGGGCCTTGAGGTGGCAGAGAAAACTGAACTGGTTCTGGGATTGCTTCTGGGGACAGGTGGTCATCTAGTCAGGCAGAAAGCAAAGGGAAGAAGGGAGACAACATTTAACAGTTCAAAGACTCAGGGAGAACCTGTGGCCCTAGTATGACCAGAACCACCTGGTGTTCGCCTAATTTACCTTGGTCCTGAGATACTGAGGAAATTCCTACCTCACATGGATCCCAAACAGAAAACACTTCCTGAAACCCCAGAGAGACTTAGCTGTCACAAGGCTGACCCACTGATCCCCAAATGAGAGGGGTGGAAGTTCTCTTGCAGGCAGTGGTCCGGGATTCATGTCCCAGACTACCCTGTTCTCCTCTGGCCAGACAACAGCCATCCTTGTCTCTGCCACAGCCAAACTCACTTCCTGCACATCAGGCTTGGGTAGATCCAGACAACAAAAGCTTCACCATGCATAAAGCACCTACACCCTACAGCATGTGTACTGATGTCTCTGTCCATTTTTCTTTCTCTAGGCCGTCCACACAGCAGGCTTTTCATGAAAACATGAGCAGTACAACCACAGAGCAACCAGAAGAGCATGTAGGCCAGTGCACCTCTGCAAGTTAAAGTGACACTCTTTAAATAGCATTTCACAGATTTAAGTTACATGAATGCACATCCACTGTCCCAACAAAAACTAAAGATATCTGTTCAGAAACAGACATCCTAAACAACTGCAGACTTTAAAAACTATCTCCTAACTGTTACATCTAAAATCAACAGGGGGCGCTGGAGAGATAGCTCAGCCATCAAGACCTTTCGAGACCAAGTTCAATTCCAGCACTCACACCAAGAGGTTCACAACTAACTCCAGCTCAGAAAGAGAGAGGAGAAAGAGACAGAGACTGTCTCTTAAAAATCTGCCAGGGATTTAAGCTGAGAAGCTGTCACCAAGTCCTAGCCACCATGATGAAAAAGGCAGGACTACTGCAAGGAGCACTCAGGGAGCTCCTTACACCCAGAGTACCAAACCTCAGAGAGAAAGGGAAACTTCAAGTACAGGGGAGGGCTGGGCAAAGACTCTTGCTGGATTAACTAGTAGAAAACACACTTTTTCAACAACCAGGAGGTACTGAAGTCATTAGGGACTTCAATATTCTGTTTCAGGCTAATACCCTGACATTGCAGGCAGACGGGAGACTATTCCCTACGATATGAGAAGATGTGTGGCACAGAAATGAACTGGAAGGGAGGACTCACCAAAGATTAGAAGCTGATATAAATCACAAACACTTGTACACAAAGCAGGGATAAAAAGCTTCAGAAATGTGACTATCAAGTCTGCACCACTGGAAGAGAGGAAGCAAACAGGTTTCCTCCTGTTTGGGAAGTAGAAAAGTGCAGAGCGGGATCTGAACTGCCCAGCCCATAGTACCTTGTCTGACAAATGGCTCAGCCAGTCTTCTCCATGGATGCCTCCCTGGCAAGACCACCTGCGAGCACTTGCATCACCTGCATCCTTTGGCTGCTGGAACTGATTTCTCCAACATGGCTCCTGCCAAATGTTCCAACTGGGGACCACATGTGCCCTTGAGAACATGGTGCCCATAGCCACAGCTTCTCTGAGTTACCCCAGGCACATTGGTCTTGGCCCTTAGCTGGGCTAGACTCTCTTAGCAACAAGTGACACATCCTGTCATTATGCATTACATCACAATGTTTGTGTTTTGCCAGGCAGGGAGTGATAACCCATCCCATGCATTCTCAGTGGGTGGGAATATTAGTGTCCCTATCTAAAGGATAAGGAAATAGGACTGAGGAGCTATGGTCACCCATGTTCATACAGATAGAAAGAAACAGAGACTCACATACCACGTCCCCCCTTGGGTCAATCAGAGAGGGTAAAGAGTTGCAGGCTAGGGCCAGACCCCCACTCCTGTTTCCACCGTATCCCAATGGCACTTCATCCCAGGAACCCTAAACTTATATGCTACTAAGACAACTTGCCAAGGGTAACCTTGGTTTTACCCTTGTAATAAAGGCCTAAGAAACACACTTGCCCCCTCTCAACCCTGGGAGAGGAAGGCATCTGTGCCAAGTTGCTCAGCAGAAGGCTGCATGTCTCTCCAAGCAAGTCCATGCTCTGGAACTCAAATGTCTGTCTAACCCAACACACTGATAAAGGATGCCTAGAAACTGCAGCCTTCTCTGCTGGGTTGGAATACACAAGAAATGGCAGGCCTCTGGAGGGCGGTGCTTAATCACAGCTCTGTAGGTGGCCACAAGATGGACTAAAAGACCTTCTGACTTTGTGTTCAAGCCCCTAGGCTCTTTTGGCCTTCTTTCTACCGAATCTCACAAGAGCAGCAGTACAGATCTGGCTCTGGCCCAAGCATGTGATCTGGCCAGGCCTCTTCTCTGCATTTCTGACTCTCAAGCTGGAAAGGGGGTGGAAACAGAGCACTTATGTGCCAAGTGTCCTAGAAGCTTACACTCCATGTTGGGCTTCCTCCCTGCCAGCTCTACTCTTAAGTTGCACGGCAGGACCTAAGTTGTTTTCTGGCTATTTCTTCATCTTGTCCACACAGTAAAGGGGTGAAAAGCAGCTTAGGTGACCTCAAGAGGCCCTTCATGGTTCTGGAATCTTGAAACGAATCGTATCTACCACCGCCATTAGCCAGCTAACTCCAAACAGCCAGTCAAGCATTCCTAAC